GAATAGATTTGATGCATTGAACACCAGTGACCGAAAGCCAGATGAATTGTGGGAAGATATCAAGAACATTATCCATGAAGAAAGCAAGAGATCATTAAAAAGACAAGAAAAGAAGAGAAGACCAAAGTGCAATGCGATGCACTATCGTGGAATTGGACCCGACTCATAGTGACCCCTCCTTGGGTTTCTGAGGGGGTATCACTACGGAAGTAGACTGCCCACACTTCCTTCCGAGGAGTGGCTTGTGGGTTTGAACCACCAGGCTTCTGGTTAGCAGTCAAATGCCTTAGGCACTATGTCACCAGAGCTCCCAATTAGAGCGTAGACATTAATTTGGACGAAGGAAAGGGAGAGGTCAGTACAACATGATCAAGGTATAGCAAGATGGCAGGAGGTACACAAGAAAAAAGACAACAAGGGTAAATACTATTAAGTACACAGTTCTGCAATAATGGTAATAATAAACAATATCTATGAGTAGATCCATAGGTAGTCATGCGTGGTAAATGGATGTTGGAAGCTGAATGGGAGTGTATCCATGAGTATATAGGTTTCGCAGAGGATATTTCTACATATGTATTTGTATGTGTTGCAAATATATCCAAGGATATAACAGAGCATACAGGTGGCAAAGTTATGAAAACCTCATAGCTAGACACCTTAAGGGAATGAGTCACAAGGCTTGGAGATTTAGGACCACAGTCTCAGGGGATATCTAGGTCAACTGGCAAAACAATCCACAATGTTCCCCATTCTATTTGGTAACTGGGGTCTTAAAAGCTTGTGAGTGGCCATCTAAAATGCAATTACTGGTCTCTCCTCATCTAGAGGAAAGAAGAATGAAGAAAATCAAAGACTCAAGGAAATAATTGGTGTAAGGGACTAATGGACCATGTGAGCCACGGCCTCCACTCCCCTAAGACCTGGAGCTAGATGGTACCCAGCTACCACTACCATTCTGACCAGGATCACAGTAGAAGGTCCTGGAAAAAGTGGGGGGAGTGGGGGATGGAAATGTGGAAAAAAGTTCAAGGTCATAAAAAAGACTAGAGTTATTGGCCTTATAGAGACTGGTGGAACCCTGAAGACTACAGCCCTTCAGGCCTCGAAAAATCCCACCCCAGGGGATCAACTTTTAGCTAAACAATGGGTAGAAGTGTAAAGTGAATAGTAACACCAGGCTCAGTACAAGCAACCATGTGAGACTTAAAAGAGCAGCATTTGCCTCAAAACAAAGTGGAGAAGGCAGGAAGTATCAAGAAAGAATGAAGAATGGAGATGGGGAATCCAGAGAAGAAGCAGGAAGAGTGCTATTAAATTGAGGGAATTCCAACCAATGTGATGAATCAAAATGTGTATAAATTATTGAATGGAAAACTAATTTGTTCTGTAAACTTTCACCCAAAGCACAATACAAAGTTTGAAAAAAAAAAAAAAAGTCTAAATCTTATTATGCTTTCTTTTGCTATGATGGACTTTTCCCACCACATATTTTCAATGTTGTTGTTGTTATTTGCCATCGAGTCGGCCCCGACTCATAGCAACCCCTCCTTGGGTTTCTGAGGCAGTGTCACTATGGAAGTAGAATTGCCCAACCTTCCTTCCGAGGAGTGGCTGGTGGGTTTGAACCGCCAGCCTTCTGGTGAGCAGTCAAGTGCCTTAGGCACTATGCTACCAGAGCTCCTTAGTTGTATTCATATGAAAATGCTCCATTGTGTAATTTTTAAGATGCCCTGTTTTCCACCCTGTCAATAATATCACCATCTACTTTGTACTTTCTTGTAGAAAAACAAACAAAAAATCTTTGGACTCTATCACATATTAATCAAGAATCTACAAATGCAAAAATTCAAATTTGAGAAAGTTTTTAAGTTTGTCTTTTAAAAGTTTGTATCTTATTAAAATTTAATTCACACAAGCAGCTCCAATTTTGTCAAGATATTCTGTAATGATGATGGCTAACATCAGCTTGAAAGAACCACAATTTGACCTCAGTGATGAGTTATCCAAAAGTAAAGTGCCACAGAATTTCAATGAGAGCACCATTGGCTTCCAAATTGATAAAATAATATCACAAAGTAAAAGAGAGCTGTGCAGCTCCTTACCTTAAATCTCTGAACTCGCTCCTTCCTAGCTAAGGTCTCCAGTTTCTTTTTTATTTCAAGCTGATGGTAACGCTAAGCATACAGAAAAGAATAGAGGAGAGAATCATGTCAATTACAGCAAATAATTTTTTGGAGGAAGATTATCCCAACTGTTAACTGTATTCTCTAAATGTACCCCTTGTGTCATTGAGATGGAGAATAATCACCTCCCTAAGTATGCAGGTGGGAATATAAATTGGTACAACTCTTTGGAAAACCAATTCTTAACATATATTAGACAGTTAAACGTGTTCATACCCTCTAACCAGTAAATTTCACTTCTAAACTGAGGGTGAGAATCTGAATAATAAAATAAATGTTTTATGCAGATGATGTCTAAAAGTTATTTTTTTTTTTCTATCACAGAAAAAAAATCAGAAGCAGTATGAACATTGGAGAGAATGGTGAAGCATTTGGCACATTCATATGATAGAATGGAATAGAATCATTAAAATAAGGCTCATAAAGATTTGGTTTTAAATAACTGCAAAATGCATGTAAAGCAGACTAAAAACAGGATACCAAATTGCACAGAAATGCAATGTAAATGATCAAGCTTTTATTTGTGCCTGAAATAAATAAATATTTATTTCTAGGAAGGAGTATCATCTTGAACATCTTTAATCACAAGCAGACCCATTTTACAAATGAGGAAATTGAGGCAGAAGGATCATGAACTTGTCTCAGGTCACATACCCAGTCAGTAGTGGAAATCTGAATCCTGATTATGTGACTCTAACTTCCAGGTGTTTTCCACTAAACCATTTCTTTCTCATGTACAGTATCCCTTTAATAATGTATAAACAGAAATAGGAAAAAAAAAAGGCTAGAGGAAATATGAATATGTTAACAGCAGCTATCTCTGTAAGGATTATGTATGATTACTTTCCTTCCTATGTTTTTTTTATTTTCCACATGTTCTCTAATACATTAATTTTATAATTTAAAAATAAACCTCACCTAAAAATAATGTGTTTACAATTCAAGTTTAAATCATTCAACATATTTGAGAGTGTTTTATATATTGTTCACTTATTGGCCCTTTGATTTTTCTTTGTTCTTTATCCCCTTCTGCTACCTTTGGGGCCCAGTAGCCTCAATCATTCCCTACCTAAGTACCACCAATCCCCTTTTCAACACTTCCCTTACTCCTCTCCTTCTTTCTCTGTTCTCTTGTTTATCACCAAACTTTACCAAATTCATTAGCCATTTTCAGATTATTTCTAAGAAATTTCCAAGTATCAAGCTTGATTCAAAAATAATAATAATAATTTAACATCTAAAAAGTAGATTGCCTCATCTTCCTTCCATGGAGCGCTGGTGGGTTTAAACTGCCATCCTTCAGATTGCCAGTCAAATGTTTTAGGCACTGTATCACCAAAGCTCCTTTATGTTGGATTAGTCTTCCTAAAACATAGCT